TATATATAATATTTTTGTAACTTTGAAATTTGACATGTAATGTGCGTGGCGATCGCATTGCTTCCTTTTCATTAATACGCGATGCATAGTTCTTGGGATGCAATAGTGGCACAACTGAAAAAAATCAAGTGTTGACATAAATGACTGAATGTTTCAGTTTGTATTGAAAATCACCATTCTTGCATTAACACTTCTGCTATTTGTCGGTGGAATTCTGTACTGTACGATATGCTGCGGGAAGAAAGACCAACCTCCAATTTTGGAGTATGCATTAATTCAAAACTCGTATTTTTTGAGTCGTGTCACTTGCATCCCACGAACAACATAATCTCAAGCGTAAAGCGTATTCCGCAAAGCGCGTCGATTTCGTGAGCGCTGGGCCTACTGATGAAGCCGAAGAGATCCGCCGGGCCGGAGGGGCGGATGCATTCCCCCGTGGCCTGGAACCGCTCCACGCACTCCCCGCCCTGCTCCTCCTTCCGCTGCTGCCGCCTCCTCTTCTTCTTTTTCTTCTGCCCCTCCTCCTCCTCCGCCGCTGCCGCCTTCCCGCCCTCCGACACCGCCGCCGGCGCCGCCTCCTGCTCCTCAACCAGAGGCTGCGTCTCTGGCGGAGGCTGCGACCTCGCGCGCGGCGCCTGCACCGGCACACACACAAACCGAAGGCGACGGTGTGGTTCGTTCGGCTCGGTTTAACATTGGTTTACCCGTTAATGCTTACAATAACACTCCATTACCCCAGTATCCGCGATCAGCCATTTTAACTCATTGGGACACCTACCCAACAATGCATACATTCACATTGTAGTGGCCCTTAAGCCCTTTGCAGGCAATCACTAGCTGCTGTAGCCCATAGCGTCCGAAATTCATTTTTACAGTTAAGGAAGTACGGCGGCGGAGAGATAGGACAGACGCTGCATTCGGTACACCCACTGAGTAAGAATTCTCCACGTGACCGCTGGCAGCCATGCACATACGATTGATAGGTTGAAGAAAGAGAAGGAATGGTTATTTTGCTATACGGTGCATGGTGGTTTCGAAAGTCTCGTACCACGACACGCAAAGCAAGCATCCATTAGTGTGCAGGAGTTCAAACCTGCGAAGTGAGTCTGATAAGAGGCGACCGTATCACTTATACATCACGAGTACAGTTGTGCCACACTTGTTCTTGTCTCTTAAAGCTCACTTTCCGCAAATTTGTCCTTTGCCTACTCCAAACAGAGGCTCTACTGTTGGTTATTTTCATATTTGGTACTATAGAAATCTCAATGCTTAAGATTGTTATTGCCATTAAAAAGCGCCATAACATCACAACGTCATATTTAGTCACTAATTGTGTCTGTTACGGGGTATTAACGTGTTTTTGGTGGAACTGATTTGAGATCTTAGGACGGGAACTGCCGGAGGATTTTTTTTGCTTGCAATTAAGCAGATTTTTCAATGTCGCATGCGTGTTGGGACACACACGATTTCACACCTTTGCTCTTAACTACATATCCCCCGTCAATTTGAGTG